GAAGGAATTATGCTGAAAAGCTCCAAAAATCGGCAGTGCTTGTGCTCAAAAACCTATGGGACAAAATGTTCGAAAGCGTGTTGATTTTCTCGGGAAACGGATTTTTGAAAACAGGTGGGGCTGTCAGAAAAAGAACTTGTTGAGGATGAGCGAAGACATTTTTGAAGACCGCGAGATTTCTTCTTTCTTATGTGTTTTACCGTTGTCTGGAAGAATCGTCCTCAGAAAATCAGGTCCCGAGAACTTTAATTTCAGCCCCGAGAAGTCAAGCCTTTCATAGAGATGCATTCAACTGTTCTCCATTCCTCAAGGAATACACCGTAATTTGCCTAAAACTGTCTCTCTGTGCATAATTAATCGAATATAATGCGGTCTGCACAAACAATTCTTGCCCTCTGATACGCCACGCACGCGTCTGTGGCTGGCGGTCCTCGAAATTGCGACCCCCTTCCGACCAAAATGCGACCTCTTCGTTCGAACTGTTCGAACGGACGGTTGACCCTGCACTGGAGTCGCCACTTTCAAACAGGTCACTTGACAGTGGACCCTGTTTGAAAGTGGCGGGCTTCCTTTGAAAGTTGGGTCCCGCCACTATTGAGTCGCTGGTACCTAGTTCGACTCGCTGGTACATCGTTGACTTGCTGGTGCATTCGGTCGATTCTCTGGCACAAAGTTCGATTCGCTGGTGCAGGTTCGGTTCGCTGGTGCAAGGCTCGGATCCAGCGATTCGCTAGTGAATCGCTCGATTCGCAAACTATGACATCGGCCTTACACTTTCTGGATCACTTAATCCTTTCATCTCCCGCCTCTCTTCTTACCACTAGAACTCAACCGTAGGCTGATTTTCCATGCGTTCATTACTCCAACTCTGCAACTTGACTCTTTGAAGGCCAGGGGCATTAGGCCCGCCGGATTTTGCAAGCCTCCTTCTTGAGCCACACTGAGCACCAATATCAGAGTTTATTTTTGAATTTACTAAATTATTTTTATTTTTCGTTTTATAATTTTTTCTCCTACAAAATTACTCGTACAAAATATTTGTACGAGTAGTTTCGGTATTCTTGTTGAATGTTGGTGGAGGGTAGTTTATAATGAAGCCAAATTTCTACGACATCTCGTTCAAATTGTTAGATATTTAATGGAGTTCTAGCAAAACATTCATGTAGTATATACGAGCACAAGCGTTCTTTTTCATGTTATTGTTCAGCTGCAATGTTGCGGAGTGAATGACGAGTCTGATTGGTTCTACTCTAATCGATGGCCGTCCCACAAATTTGTTCCGGACAGTTGTTGTGACCCAAAACACTTCTCAGATATTGACTCAATGGCAAACTGTGGAAAAGTGGAAAATAGCACACTTTTGTTTCAACAGGTAAGTTACAGTTTTGACTGGTTTAAGGAACGTTCCTCGATGGCTGAAATGAGGTACATTGGAGTTCCAATTCGAGATAGTGGTGCTAATTGACTTGGAGTAAAGAAAAGAAAGAGCACGAAATTTCTGAAAACGGCCTAAACAATGTCCTCCATTTTTCTGACCAGGTGGAGGATGTAAGAGGCCGAGTTCAAGAGACTGTAGGTGCCAAGGCGAGCGTGAAAAAGGCAAAGACGAGCGCATATCGTGGCGGCGTGGCCATAGTCGTCGTCCAGTTGTAACGACTGCGCAGCATTAGATACGTATCGATCGACCAGCCCGTCCGATCGGATCGGACGATCGATATGTATCTAATGCTGTTCGATCGTGACGATCGGGCGACCTATGAAGGCACTCTAAGATACGAGCAATGCGATGCGAGAGCTTTGATTCATAGGGTGGAGCTTAATCTGCTTCCTAGGCTCCTAGTGCATTTCCGAACTACTTTGAGTCGGTGGGGGGGGGGGAGTGACCCTGTGTCTGCGATTGCAAACCTAGCAACATTATCTACTGGTGGCATTGGCTCAATAATCTTATTGTAGGATGTGCTTTTGACCCATTGACGATAGCGTGGCCCTCCGACGGGCTATGCTTTAAGGGGGGACGAGACCGTTGAATATTTTATATTCCTTTTTTTGTGTTCCAAATCAACCCTTATATGTACTTTTACATGACTTTTCTGTGTTCCAAAACAACCCTTATACATAATCGGGTTCGAAAAACTGTTTCTAAATGCTGAGTAATGTTTGTAAGCAGATTTAGTAACTTCTGAGTTGAGGGATGCTTCGAGGTGTTTGCCGATTGGCTGTATCATCATGTATCTATTATGAACTGGATCTCCTTTGCCTTACTCATTGCTGAAGTGAGTCTAGCATATTTGGATTCGGTGCTGTTCATGTTTTGTGTTTTCATTTTGATTTTGTCTGTTCAGGTGGGATCTCTTGCAATAGCAGTTCCGCTCTCGAAGTCGGAATCGTTCAAGGTGGGAGCGTCGCATACGAGGTCGGATATCGTTTAGAAGTTCTTACATTTTCTGTCTTATTGTGGTAATCAGCAAGATCAAAGGAAAATTTTTAAGCTCTGAAAGTCACCTTCCCTTTTCGCTCTCTCTCGTTCCCTAAAATGCGATGCTATAGCTCATGATAAATAGAAGGTTTCAACGCACGCTTACTCTGTCACTTTGCGCACTATGTATAGTGTCTTACCCTTTTTACATCTCTGAAATTTGGCGCTTTTCCGGTCGGGTTGATTCAAGGTGGTCCTGTCCCAACCCGGTTTTTTGGGACTATGTAGCTAGCCATGTAGTGCTGGTCAAACAAACAAACACGCCGAGCTACTGTTTTATGTATAGAGGGGAAAATGGGTATTGTCAGGGAAGTTAGTTTGGTATACTTGTTTTTTTCACTCCCTCCTTTCTGGTTGAGTACGTACACTCTGTTTCATGCAGCCAGAAACCCACGTGGCACACGTGGCTAAGTTCTCGATGAAAAGATGACATCATGTGTGCTCAAAGATGTTCTTGAATCGATGCCACGTCAATTTCTGCAATTGCACAATTTCTGGTCATTTGAAGGCGAGGGTATTCTGTATCACGCGACGAGGAGCACACTCGTGGCCACGATAGCCATAACGCGGTTAAGTGCTCTTGATCTACGTGGACTCCTTTCAGTTTTCGAAAATGTACTGCACCCGGGATGGGATACGAAGGGATGTCTTTGCATAAGATACAGTATTCACTGTGGGTAAGGACGCGAAGGGTAGTTCGTGGTTTTTTTTATGTTACAGTGAGGATATGCTATTCATTCGAATTTCGAGCTCAGTTTTCGAGAACTCACTTATTAAGCTTGAGTAGCTCAAGTGGTTACATAACAGCAGCCTTTGAGAAACGTCCTATTCAATTGATTGTAATATATGAGCAGTGGATTGAAAGAGGGTTCCACGGCTAGGTCAAAGATCGAAGAAGGGGAAACCTATACCCAGTGGAAAGACAGGCGGATCCCTAAAGGTGCGGACCGACACGCAAGCCTGGTATGTATGATATGCCCCGGTGATTCAGCATGTCCCTTCCCGCGGCGCTATCGGCACGTCACGCCTACCGGCTGGCCAACCACTCGCCGCAGGTTCCTAGCCTTTGAGCAGAGGGAGCGTTAGCGTTGAGGAGGGCAGCTTATGAGAGCCGCATCAATGCGGAAATTAACGGGCACGGAAGGGTCCCATTTCTCGTGCTCTGGGTCGTTTCTCATGATTTTTTCTCCATCCCGGCACCACTGACCACCTCCATCTTAGTTTTAATGTTTTTTTTTCTAAACGTAAACTTCACCTTTGATGTTTGTAAAAGCTCTACGCTTTCGAGAATTCGCGTGCATAATCCATGAGCGACCGCAGGATTTTGTCGCACTCAGAATTAATGCGATAATTTCGTATTGAGCTCTTTGAAATGGGTTTATTCAGTATTTTGAGCTCTTGATTACTTTTTGCACTGGCAGCGCTGTAAGTGATCATAATATCCGTAATTCGTAATGGCGATCATTTTATCGTACCATCTGCCTTCAAGACTCCTTTTTTCGACGTACAAAAACTTTTGTATCCTTTTGTTTGATTGATTTTGGACATTTTCTGATCGAAATTCCAGTTCTTCATTTAGAAATGGTTCTTTCTTCAGTCGTGATGAGTACCATCGTTGTTTGGTGGAAATGAATGATTTGGAAACCAGAGATCTTCGTACGCGTCCTATGGACAGAATCGGTGATGCGCGCCAGGATCCAGTGGACATTGTCAATTAGTCAAACTGCCTTCACTTTCAATTAGTCTCGCTTGTACTTTAATGGTGTTTAAGAGAGCGGGTTATAGTTTTTCTTTGCACTGCTTCGATCGCTTGTCCCAAGGTCCATTGTTGTGATTTCGTTTTTGCGCTTGGTGGCTCTCTGAAAACATGCCAGCGGCGCGCACGCGGTGCGTGCTGTGTGACGTCGTAACCACTGCTTGGTGAGGGGTCGAGTAGTGGCCAGTGTCGCTGCGATACTCTATTGGATTGTGTAGCAATTACCGTAATTTGACAAAATTTTGTTGTGTCGTCATACTTCCACCACCCATGTTTCGGAACGAGTGACTATACGATTAGTCTAGTTAGCTTCTAAGTGTTCTTGAAGTCAATGTTCCCAGTAATCGCGTATAATTGCTTTCTTACATTTGAATGAGTCACCGTAATTGAGGTATTTGCCTAAAGCGTACTCAAACGTGCTGGGGATGTAATAGTGGCACCACTAGCCATTCTCGAGCTCCGCCGCGTGCTGCTGTGACGTCACCGAGTACGCGCCTCATGCGCGCCGCCGCTAGTTTTTTTTTCTGCTCGCCGCAGTTCGCCTCGGAACAAGTGATCGCAAGTAATCTCATTTCTCTACTTAGCGATTTTGCTCTTAATAATACCCTTTTTCTCCTAAAAGCATTTATCATATTTTAAATTACGTGTTTTGCTGAGATTCCTCATGATTTGTTTCCCGATTTCTCTGGAATTTTTTTTATTACTGCAGTAGGTGATGTCCTTCAAGGCGTTAATTTTCCGGTTATCAAGGCATATATGGAATACTGGTAAAAACCAATCTATGTTATAGGTAAAGGACATGTCACGGACACTGTCATTATTCTTCTACTCAGGTGTGATTACTGTTATAAATGTAATTAATTGTTGTGCGATTTATTACGGTAAAGATTTATAATAGACTTTCTGGTGCGACTTTATTTATCTAATAACGATCAATAATCAAAGGATAAGGGCTCGTGACGTGCCTCGAGCTATGGTTTCGTATTTCCATATCGCTCTCTGTTGGCACGAACGATGGGCGCAATTTATTCCAAGGACTCCAAAGGTGCAAGAAAAGTGTCACTGTTTGGACGTAGGTCTTAAATATTCGTTTTTGTTACTTGTTTTTAATCCTATGGGTCATGCCTGGAGGTTGGTTTGTGTGGGCTTTCTTAAGTTCTCTGATCCATATTTTTGGCTTCAAAAAAGCTTTTTTTTGGCTGTAGGGTGCGTTTTTGAGTTTCTAGGGGAATTCACTTGTATGAAGCTATTTTTGCAAGGCTTAACTAACTACTAATCTTGTAGAAAGTGTGGAAACAGCTCTCGCTAGAGAAATGGATGATCAAAAGATTCGATACAAACCGGAAAGCTTGGACGTGCTCATGGAGAAGACGCATTTCTCGAAATTTGAATTGAAGTACCTCTATCAATGCTTCAAGCAGGTGATTGCAGACCAGGGTCGGTCCTATCGTTGGTACTTTTTGCAACATTTTTACGATCCCCTTCTTCACGAGAAGTTTCCATACGACCTTCTCTTCACAGTCACTTTTTCCCTCAAAGAACACCGTCGAGCAGGGGGTATATGACTACCATGAAATCTACCTACCCTTCCCTATATTTCCCTGCATTTTCTCCCACTTTCCCGCTTTCTCACCTATATTTCTACTACTTCGTTTTCTAGGGGGCATATACGCACGCTGAAACGGCAAATTTCTCCCGCGCGCTCTCACCTCATCACATGTAATTTTGCGCTACCGAAACAAGTACGACCCCCCACCACAAACTTCAACAAATTACGACCCCCCCCGTTGTTACTTGTAGCAACGTAGGGTTGACCCTATTGCAGACAAGGAAAAGATGGTTGAACCAGCTATGCGATCAGTTTCCTGGTGTGCGCTGTGCATTCGTCTTCGATTCAGAATCCCTTGAATGAGACTCAAGCGTGAAGATCATTGCCTAACTAACCTAATGTAACCTTAACGTAACCCTTAGTCTAATGTTTTTTTAGCGCGATGGGATGTGAGAGGTAGTAGCAAACGCGAATTTAAGCAACGTTCGGCTGGCTCGAGCGAGATCATATTTCATAGTAGTGACGGGGAGCTAAGCGCTTTGCCACTCCCGTCAAGGAGGAAGAGCGCGAAGCACTGGACTATGATCAACCTTTTTGGGGTGCGCCACGCATTTTACATCCATTCTTCATCGTAGTAGCACTTACGTGCGACGTGGCTCATGAGAGGATTTGTGTGGGCCAGGCGATATGTTTTAAACGTTTTACACTCCCATTCGAGTCTGGTAGCATTCCGATTTCGGAAGGATGGAATGCTTGGTTGACCTGGGCGAGATCTCATTCAGGATTCAACCCCGTACTATGTGCCGAGAAATGTTGTCACTCGAAAATGTGCTACCTTCCTGAATTGTATAGCTGCGTATTCAAGCGCTTTTTAGTTTTATGGTTAAAGATGCTGACGATGTTTCCATGGTGCATGTGTGGTGTATACGACCGCTACGACCCCGGAGTATTGGCATTTTTGGACCGCAGTTGCCTGTTATTAGCGCTTCGGACAGTGAGGGTACTTCTACCTCTACTTGAGTTGTTGGAGAGGACACGGGTTTTCACTCTTCAAACTCAATTTTTTCGGGAATTATGATACTGTGACATCGCACAAGCTCTGTGCTTCATTACAGATGCTAAACCCATTTCGAGAAGTTGACGGCAGGCAAACATTTTTGTTCCCAAACTTTTCTTGTAGCCCTTCAACAGTCACTTTACCGAAGAGGTCACTTTTTTGTTAACTTAGGTCCATCGCTTTATCTCTAGAATCATATTTGTGTACGTGCGCAGTCAAATATGGATACTTTCGCAGCAGACTCTTCTGCTCTGATGTGCGCCATGCACTCGTTTGTGCTTAATAATTGAAGAAGCACTCACAAGATTCACCTCTCCCCTTCTGTCGCGAGAACTAACGTCTTGATTAAAATCTTTCGATGGTCCCAGCAAAGCCAACAGCTGCGAGGTTCATCACAACACACATTAGCTTCCTTATAGCAACAACCACCTCTCGTCATCTACACCCAAAAACCTCTTCGTACTACAACGTTGACTCCTGCCAATACGATTTACCCCCTCTAGCGTCGGCCAAATACGACCCCCCCCCGTTGGACTTTGTCCAACGGACGGTTGACCCTGCTGGCGTGGCCTTCTCGCGGCACTTTTGGCGTGAATCCGAGAATGTCCTATTTATTATCCTGGCGGAACGCCCCGTCTTGCTGCCTGAGCTTTTAGCCGTTTGATTGAGAGAGCGCTAGCGTTGAAGAGGGCAGCACAGATGAGAGTCGCATGAATGCGGAAATTAATGGTAGGGAAGTGGATACATATCTCGGGTTCTAAGCCGTTTTTCTTGGCTTTTCTTCTTTCTTGTATCACTGATCATCTCCACCTTAATTTCATTGGCTGCCTTGTCATCTTAAAATCCGCCACTAAGCAATTTAGAATTGTCCAAGTGGTTATGTGACGCGCGAGCAATTCATCGTCATCTTCAGATCATTCTTCAGCATTCATCGACTTTCAGGTACCGTTTATTGACTTTGTTTAACGTCGCTTTTCTTTAAGTTTTTACATTTTACGTATGCTGCTTTCAGATGCCAGCCAGTACGCCGGACTCGTCTTCAATACGTTCGATGATGATCGGAATAACAGGATCAGCTTCTCGGTTAGTGTTAAAGCCGAAGGCTTACAGAAAAGTTTTTGATCTGCATGCCGCTGGGCATTCGGTCTTTTTGTAAGTTCAAACACAAAAATAGATAATAACGGGACAATAGTGATCGATTCTTCTACCATATCTTCTACCATAGAATGCAAGGCGCACTGGATTTTTACTCGGAATTACTGACCAAGTGCGATCATGCGATTCTGATCTATGCAATTTTGTAGAAGTTGAAAAAAGCAGAACGTCGGCGCTGATCGTTATTTTTCCTGTGCGTCACGTAGCTCACTTCCAGTAAAAAGCGTAGTGGTGCTTGAGTACCATTTCGCCTGCAAAATGAATTAGGAGGAAAGGGTACAACAATCGCTGCATTGTTCACGGATTTCATTCCAAGCCTCCATGCATGAGCGAGATCGGATCCAGGAATCGACTTGGGGTCAGAAATCATTTTCCACCCCATCCTGCTGAGGTTTTTGTCGTTAGCTGAAAGTGACTGCATTGATACCTTCACATGATTCAGCGATTCTTAAGCAGTTATAGATCGGCTTAGATTGGGTCGGTTTAGGTTTTGCTCAGACCGCCGACAAAGCACTCATAGAAAATTGAAACATAAAAACGCAAAAGGATATTGTTGAATTGTGAAATACAAATCTTGCAGCCGAGCCACTTTCAGAACCCATTGTTCAAAATTTCCTACTTATGTTCAGAAGCCTTCGCTCCACTCCGAAGAAACTTATTTGGCCTTCTGAGTAATTGAAGAACGGGGATGGAGAAAAATTGAAGGACTCACTTGAGACGGTTTTGGCACCTTCACCTTCTCAAATCTACTCGCATCTCTTTTCTCTGTTATGTGCAGTGGGAGGTTTTATTGATGGTATGTAGTCAGAGTGATTGTTCGAGTTTCCAGGAATTTGCCGTCATGCTTTCGCTTTTTTCTAATGGCACATTAGAACAACGTTTGGACTGGTTATTTGATCTCTACGATTGTAATAGGCGAGGATACATCGTTGAAGACGATCATGTTACCGTTTGCAGGTCTGCTCGTTTCCAGCTGCTTTCTATCAAATAATCGAATAATAGTTGATTTATAACAAATCAAGAGGGCGTCGAGCGACAGCTTTCGGCTGCTCAACCCCTTGGACCACTTTTCTCAAACACGGAAATTTTCACGTTAACAATCTACGCTGTGACTTCCATGAAAAGACCATGTGAGAAGTTGGTCTCGGAAGTCTGACACAGGATGCGCCATGCTGTCTGAAAATGTACAAGCCAATTCGATACCCTAGCTAGGAAATGTCTTCCCCTCCCCTCCCCCAGCTGAAATATGACTGTCGTCCCACTAATGGTAAGGTCTGTCTGTCCCTCTCCCCGCTTTTGCTCTTATACTAAAGGCAAGGATCAGGAGTACATTGATGGGTTGATTCCACTCAAATGTAAAAGTAGGAGTGAGAGGTGGACCGCTGGAGGAAAAAGGAAAGAAAATTCTGTCATGCACAGGGAATACGAGCATTTTGCTCAATGCTGTGGAGAAGTTCAAAAGATAGAGGGAGATGAGAGATAATGTGAGCGTAGAGGGTGGTAGAGAATTCCGAGAAGAGAGAGCATAGCAGATCAACGCAGCAACGCAGACAAGACATCGATCGGTGGGCGGACCATGTTATGTTTGGTGGAGCCTGCTAGAAGTTCATGGAGCCTAGGATCCTGGTGACGGGTTTCGATGTAGAAAGGTGGCGCTAACTTTGCACTTGGGTGCCCAGCACTGCCATGGTAAGGGCTTCTGAGGTGGGTCTGAGCGCGAACTTTGCTTTTAATCCAAGTCGAATACTAAGACGTCCCACACCTTTGAGTCCTACCTTCCTATTACAACTACGTTTTAATTCTCCTCAAGGATCGGTCGTCAACTGGGACAGCGATAATCATAGCAGAATTTTTCCAAGAATTTTCTAAAAGTATCCTCTGACTATCGAAAAATCCTATGAGTACCCTTCTGAAAACCACTGTCGGTCCCATACACTTCTCTGGGAATCCAAACACAATCCCACTTCTGTCAGATAGTGGCGTATCCCCCACGATAACGGATTGTGCTAACAATTTTTGTAATAATACTTTAGTATTTCAACAAAACTTCAGTCTGAATCGGTGGAAAAATTTTTTCAGAGCCATGTATGCGCTAGTTGGAGTTCACTATTTCAAAGGTAAACACATACCGGCCGTTCTGCGACGTCACATCAGACATCAGTTCATTGTAAGTTTTTTTTATTTATTTTAAGAATTTTTTTTGAAGGTAAGGGCTCGGTCATGCACTTTTGCGTATGACCTGTGGATATTAACTGGGATGCATTTGTCTTGAGTTTATTATCACCTATTTTGTACTGCAGCACTCGCACAGGCTAAACGATATTCCTGGTTTTACCCACAAACGTTCCTAGTATCATATGATTTTTGTTAATTGGCGCCTGGTCCATCAGCACTTCTGGAGCTGTGTAAGCCAAATTTCGAGGAAGTTGTGGTCAAAATGACTCTCATGCCGTCCTCTCCCATCTTCCTCAGCATAGGGATCACCGGCACTGTTGACATCTGGAGCCGATGGATAACGTCAGTAGTGTCGTTGGTCCCCAGCTCCACCCCCATAGCCGCGACGAAAGTTGAACGGGAGTGAGGTATATGTGAGTAACTGCTGAAACTGCATCAATGTATGCAACTCTTTTGTTTCCTTCCTACCATTCCCCCAATCGTCCAACCCTCCCACCTCCACTGTGCCCACCTACAATTCCAAACTTGCAAATGCAACCTCATTTTCCCATCAGGAAAAAATGATCCTTGTGAAGTACCCTCGATCGTAGTTCATGCTGTTCTGGAAATCCTTTTTCAAAGCTCTATAAACACTTATTCAATTCCAAGAGATTTTTCAACGTCTCTCCTTGTAAACCATGTACTGAAGTAACTCTTGCGTTTACAGAAGCTGGATCAAAGTAAAAATGGCAAAATCACTCGAGCGGAATTCATAGAAGGTTGCCTGCGTGATCCAAAAATCATAGCATCAATGGAAGTCCTCCGAAGTGTGTGGTAAAAGAGAACATCTTCATGAACGTTTCTAGAAATCTCAAGAATAAATGTCTCTTACGTGTGTACTGATATGCCTCATTGAGGAAGCGAGCTTCCTCAAACAGAGGGTCTTCTAAAAAGAGCCGACCATCTTCTGACCAAGTCGATCAGGCGTTCCTTTTTTCTGAGTCCGGGGTAGTGGGGGAAAGAGGGAGGGGCGAATAGCGAAGTATTAACACGACGACGACCGAGTGGTACGATGTCATACCTCACTTTCACATGAAGCAGTCTAGTTTCCTTAATTTATTTAGCGTTTTTCCCGTTCCACAACGGTCCATTTCCCTTATTGGATCCGAAAAAAAAACATTTTTTCATTACTGAGAATGCTGGCTGATTTCGACTGCGTCTTTGGTGAAGTCGGTCTACAGCTGAACCTAGACGATGTTCACGTGAAAGGGATTGCTTTCTGATGCCCCATTCACGCTCAACCAAACGAACATCACCGAATGCTCCAGCTACATGTACCTAGGTCGGGAAGTCAATATGATGAACGACCTAGCTCCAGAGCCACCGTGCCCACCTCTTCGATTCCGCAGTCTTTCCTGCCCTACCTACGCCTCGAAGACTTGGACTCCGCGCGTTGAGGACGAGCATGCGGTCAGTGTTATGTAACGCGCTGTCATACGCTGATGCTTAGTGTAACCGTATACGCGCAACTGCAAAGGGGAATCTGGAGTCTGAGCTACGCCAACGTCGCCAAGGAATCGAAGATAAGGTGGGCCGGACTATCATGCGATTCTGTGATGACCGCTGGACCAGAGCGGTTACTGACTGGATCCCTCGGGACGTCAAACGAACACCTGGACGACCGCCGGCCCGATAGTCAGACTTCTTCACGAAAGCTCTGAACGAAAGGAATGATGGATCTCGTGTCCCTTCAGCGAGGAGGATCCACTGGACCACTCTAGCCCGCGACAGGGACGAATGGAGGCGTTGCTGGCGCCCGCTTGAGCAACTCGATGATCAACGGGACAGGTGATACTGATAATGAAAACGCTGGAGGATTAATGCCTATTGATGAGGGAATACAAAAAATGTCGAAGCAGTACAGCGGCGGTCGTCTTTCTTAAATGTGATGGCCATCGCTCTTTCTAGATCGTATGGGAAGAGGAGATTTCCGGAAAAAATTGGAAGGTATTTTTTACGAAATTCGCAGAATCCGAAATTTTCGTAGTGTAAGGCATGACATATTTCTTTATATTTAGATTTATTCCCGGAAGTCATGTGTACTATGTCCCTCCCGTCCCTGTTCCAACCCTGTACAGAATTTGGAGATTTTTGAAGGAGTTCAAAATGTGTTGCAAACTACTCATCAGTACTACAACCAGCGGAGGATGGGTGCACGGTAAAGCGTCCCTTATATTAACAACGAGGGGGGGGGGTCGTATTAGATCGACCGAAGGCATCCGCCTGGCTTAGCGCTCTGCCCCGTGCTTCTCGCTCCGACTCATCGGGGTTCACCTGGCGAAGGAGCGGCGCCAACGTCGGTGTGAGGGCATGCGATCGGAACCTACGTTGTTGCCCGCCACCACCCCACGCGGATGAGGTAAGCGAACCAGCCCTTTTGGCGTTTCGGCTGGGACCGTACGCTGAATGTTGAAGAGAGGATGGGGTCCCCAACGGTCGACGGTTTACTTCCACTCGGTTGGTACGATAGGAGAGTACTGACACAAGTGGTGGCAGGCTGTCGCAGCTTTCCTCCAGAAGGCTGGTTGCTCACTACCCAGGATAAGCTTGGAGAGGGGCGGACTGAGCCGTCTCTCTTAAGGCTCAGTTTTCTGGGTAAGCATTCCAAATGTGGCGGTTCTAAGGAATAAGTCAAGCGTCCGTCACCGTCGGGGATTCATCCCTCCTCAACATTCCAGAATTACGGCCGCGCCGAAGCGCAAAAGGGCTATTTTTGAGCTTACGTCACGAGATTGGATTAAATAGGCGCTAGCGTAATAATAGTATAAGCAGTACTAAATCTCAATAAATCATCAGTGTGATCACTGAAACACATTTAGGATTGAAGATGGTTGCGAAAGAAACAATTTGAACAATACACTCTATGGACAATCGAAGGTAATTCGGGCGGAGCCAAAGGCGAGGCATGGAAGAAGTTGGCCTTGGGCCAGCTACGTATCAGACGACGTAATGAAAGAATCGGGTTAAAGCGCGCGATTTCGTAGAGTAGAGACAAATTATCGATAGAATATGATGGAGTAGAAGTGTAAGATGTGAATGCAATAGAGCAGAAGGCCAGAAAGAGTTTTAGTGAGGGCACTTCAAGAACCAAATGTAACCCTCCCCGTCTCCAGCAGTTGTGAAAAACTCCGTGGGCGATTTGAAGGCGTAGCAGCCATGAATTTCGAATTTTGCACCAGAACAAAAGCAATATTTCTGTTTTTTTGTTCTTATCGTGGATGATAAGCCCCATACCAGTGATTTATGGCTGAAATAGAATCATGATTTTCCCGGGAAGGATTCCTTTAAGCACAGCCATGTGTAAGCAAAGACCAAACTCAAACCTAAACCCAACATAACAGTAGGCTTCATTGATCGCGCAACTCTTCTACTGGAGTTCCATCAGAGAAGAAGACTTCTGATTGAGGCGACCCTTATGTGAGAATTTGCCTTCATTCGGATTATTATTGAGTCCCCATTGGATACACCAAGTGAGCATTATAGTTTATCCTTATTATCTGCAAAAGCTTCAACCGTCAACAAGCGAAGTGCTCCCAAAGTATCACTACGATTCTTCTCTTTGCTCATCAACAGAACGAAAGGAAAGGTTTTTGGAAGCAACTTTTACAACTTCTCATCCCTGAAAAAAAAAGACTGTTACCGATCGTAAAATACGACCCGTGAGAAGGAACGAGACCTGTTCTGTTCTCGAGATTCATGAAACATTCATCGCAATTCTTTCCCCGCATCACACAAGCCATGTCCTTTTTTACGGTATTTGCGGCTTCCATTAATTTCAGCCTTTCGGATACAGACAGCTCATTTCCTTGCTCTGAGAGAACAGTAGCCTTTCTCTTGGGTAATTTACCCTCGGGATTCCTATCCCATACCCGAACATCAAACTTGTTCTTTGATTTAGGAGTACAATTTTATTATGAAGAATGCAAGGTGGCGCGGCGAGGGGTTCAGCCGAAGAAAGCTATCATATTTCTCCGATTCGAGAAAAAGGACAGCTGGAACACATCTATAGTCTTTGTAAGCGTATACCCAATGTTGCTCAATATTGAGTGCGAGCGAAGTTAGAATTTAACAATTCCACGGTGGAAAAAAAGCGAAACATTAGCAGTCATAGCGAACGAAGCATTAGCAGTAATAGCGCAAAGGGTGTGTTACTGGAGGTATCTTCTATCATTATCATTCGCAAGCGGATGAGAAAAGTACCTCTGGAAACCAGTAATCGAAAAACACATCTAATTATTCAAAGCAAGGAGGCCAATAATTGGCAAAAGTCGATGAAAGCTGATTGACCGCCGAGTTAGGAACGGAACACTTCCTCAGTTGGTGCATTTGACAAAAGTCGTAATATACATATGTCTAGAAGGAGGGTGTTACATAAGCGACCTATTTTACTCAGAAGTTCTGCGATCGTCTTATCTCGAAGCAACGGAATCGGGAAGACTTACAATACATTTGGGATCTCAAATTTCGGGCTCCTAAAAACTCGTAAAGAAGAAAGTTACCCCATTGCAGATTCATTTTTATGCTTGGAGATAAGAATTTTTTGGTTGTAGTATTGAATAGTAGTACCTTGGCTCGTATTATTTTCTGTACTATTTTGCCAAAAGAAGTACTTCAAAACTCAAAAAACGATAAAAATTATTGCAACTCCCTGTTAAAACACTGATGCATTCACATTAGGGTAGGAAGATGCCGAGAAGCTTTTCCTCACCTTATGACAGGCTCAACCCTACTGCTGGGACTTTTTGAAAAATTTTTACGACCCCTCCCCCTTCATGAGAGATTTCACACGATACCTTCTCCTCGACTTCTTTCCCTCAAAAAACACCGTTCGAGCGGGGAGGGGGGGGGGGATATATAACCACCATGAAACCGCAAAAGTTCCCTATATCTACCTTTACTCCCCCTCATTTTCCCTCTATTTTACCTATACATTGCCACATTCTCTAAGGGGGAGGAATATATACGCACAGTGAAACGGCAAATTTTCTCCCGCACGCTCTCACCTTATTACATGTAATTTTATGCTACCAAAACAACTACGACCCCATCCCCCACAAACTCAACAAACTACGACCCCCCCCCCGTTGGTACTTGTCCCAACGTACGGTTGACCTAGCCTTATGACCCTCCTTCACGCTTCAGCTGGACTCAGTCATCCTCTACCTTACTTTCAGAATTCTTCAGTCATTTTGAATTTGTCTCCAACCTTCAAAAACAATCCGTTGACCTTTGGGTGTATGCAAAAGCGATGCGGCGGTAAATTCAAATTTCATCTCGAAATTTGGTGCGAATCGCGTAAAACTCTTTAGGTGTCCCACGAGAAGCTTATTGCAGTATTTGTGGAAACGCTCTGGAGACCCACTCAACACTTCTGTAACAACCTCCCCTGGTCACGTTCAAGAATACTCTCCACCACGACATGCTCTGAGAAGGTACTAAACAGTTGTCAACAATTACATTGCAGATTTATGTGTGGCCCATTTATTGTTAAAGACTCAGGTGTATCCAAAAACTAAACCCAGTCACCCATGCTTATACATTAAAGGCAAAGGTCGGGCTCAATAAGGGGGCATTATGGTTATTGAAACTGAGTATAGAGATGCGAAGTGGAACGACAGTGGAGAAAAACTGAGAAAATTCGTCGACAAGGCCGTTACAAAACTCACCTTCCCACTAGTAGTGAAGGAGGCTGTCTTGGGGAAGAGGCGCGTACAAACAAGTTTATAGAGATCTGTCAGTCATTCTATGTTAATACGCAATGAAATAGTTGGTTTCACAACGTTATGCCAGCCACGCACCACTTCCGGAGGTGGGCGGTCCCGGATTGACGAGGCGGGTCTCGGATTGAAACCGACGGCCCCGGGGGCTCAGCGACGTTTTTCGAGTATGGAAAGTTGCTGCAATGTGTGCAGCTACCCACATACAATCTCCAGGCACGGGAATTACTTCTCTAGCTTGTCTGAGCCCGACCTTTGCCTTTAAAGTAAATGAGTGTGTTCGCTAACGCGCGTGTTTGCGTGTCTCTAGTATGTTCCCTACAAATCATCCAGTAGTTCAACCATTAGACTAGGACTTTTTGAGTATAAGTTGTCGGTGTTTTGTGTAGTAACTATCGCTCCTAGCAACCAACAGTCACTCATAGAAACTTCCTGATATACGATGGATCTGACCTGGGATTTGATCCAGGGACCATGCTCGCACTAGCGACCCCTCTTGTCACCACACCATCACCGCTTAAATAAGTATTTTTAAAATGTAAATTGCCAGCATAGTTAACAATTGCGAATACGCGATTTCCATATCTCATTAGCGGAACAAAGCCAATGGGTAGAATTGCAAGCCGCACTCTGTAGAAGCGCTTCGGATCTTACCGGCTGCTTCAGCTCTGATGAGTTTTCGTAAACGTTTCCTCCCAAAGTTTGTGACCTCTTGGGGTTCTTCTAGTTCCACTTCCGCGACGTCTGTAAAATGTTTAGAGAGTCGAAAGGTCAGAATGTAGAACGTTGAACCTCGAAAATTGTCGTAGGGTTCCACGTTCCTCTGACTGGTTTTCGGTTGATACCTGCTGGCCACCCCTTCTGTCATCGTTGGTCTGCTTATGTTGTAAGTGATATAATGAGCACCAATGTGCACCATGCACTAGAAAGATGCCAGTTTGATTGTGAGGTTTGCTTTCAATGAAAAGAACCATTTGAATACTCCAGCTGTGCGCAGTTAGACTGTGGAATTTATATGATGATCTTAACCCCAGAACTGAATATGGGAAATGAGTGGCATGGAGTCGAGGAAGCAGTGGAGAAGACAAACATAACATGATAACAATCATCTCACATTAGAGACATCCTCACTGTTTCGATTCAGATTCTAGGAAAGGCATTCAACTTCCCATGGAACCTTGAGTTGATACCCAGATATATCGATAGAGCTTCAAACGCTGTTTCCAAATGTGAACCCTAAATTTGCAAAATGAACCTGCCAAAGAAGTTGTGAGCAGTCAAAATTTGCTGAAATGGAGTGTTCCGTATTAACCGTGCTGCTTCCGGGTTTTCATAGTCGCCGTGGGTTAGTGGTAGTACTCTCGGAGTTTGCACTCCAACAGGAAGAGAACTTTGACCCCCGCATGAAGAGCGAGCGCATTACCACTACTCCACGGCGACTTTGAAAGCTCGGAGGCTAGCACGATTAATACAGAACGCTTTATTCAAGCAAACTTTGACTGCTTACAACTTCTTTGGCAGGCTCATTTTGCAATTTCAGTTTCCATATTTGTAATCAGCGTTTGAAGCTCTATGGATATGTTTGGGTCGCAACTCAAAGCTCCATGGGAAGTTGAATGCCTTCCCTGGTCAGTGTTTTTGTCGTGTCACAAGAAACTTGGACTCGGCGCAGAGAGAACGAACACGCGGTCAGCGTCATCCAGCTCGCGTTGAAAGGAACGATGCGTGAAATTTCCCTTGAGAAATAATCTGTGTTTCAAAACCGTCAAAAGTCGAAGATTGGGGATGCTGCCGCTTTTGCCTTTTGTCAAAGAATCGAAGATCAGATAGGCCGGACACGCAGTGGAGTCCGAAAGGTACAGTCGATGACCGTTCTAGTACATAAACGTTGAAGCTGAGCGGTCACCGTCTGGACCTTTTGGGACTCTATCGAACATCACGCCCGATGCAAATGTTTTTTAAAAGCAAAGTTCCGGCTCAGACCCACTTAATGAGCTTTACGGTTGCTAGAAGCGCTGGGTACGCAAGTGCAGAAGTCGCTTCACTTCCCTACTTCGAAAAGCGTTACTCAGACGCAAGGCGTTAAGAACTTTGACACGCTCCACCTGTTGCGACACGCTCCGCCCAACGCTCGATATCTTGTCTGCGTCGCTAACTTGATCCGCTGTGCTGTCTCTACTCGTACTTCTCTAGCGCTCTCCGCGCTCACATTATCTCTCATCTCCCTACCGCCTTTTGAACTTCTCCTCAGCGTAGAGCAAAAGGCTCGCATTTCCTGTGCATTTCACATTTTTTTCTTTTTCTCCACTGGCGATCCACTTCCTACCCCTACCTTCACATTTGAGTAAAATTAACTCATAATTTAATCCTGAATCTTGCCTTTAAAATTCTCTGCACGGGAAGAATTTGTTGCTTCATGTCCAATTAGTCAATGGGGCCCACTAAAATACTCTGGCACGGGACAGGGATGGATGGAGTCGTTGTTAGTGCCCGCTCGAGGAACTTGATGAACAACAGGACGGCAGCTGACAGATTGCAGGTGAACTGCTTTAGTACCGTGTTATAGTATAATACGATCACTATACTACTTGAGAACTGAGAGCTTCAACTTGATCGCACTTTGAACTCTCAGTGCTAGTGTAAAATGTGACGTGTGTTCAATATGCTGTGAACGGGAAAACAGCAGACATCAATCAGATTTATCTACACTTCAGCGAAGAAAGCGTTTTTTATTGAACGATTTTAATGACATCTCATGCCTACGACCTCTATATACCCATAGTATTGGACAAGAAATCATCAAATGCAACGGTTTGATGAGTCCACATTATCGATCGTTATCGATTTTGAGCAACGCATCAACATGCGTCTGTAACTCGAATACGAACCTTATGTGCGTAGTGTGCCAGAGAACGCCAGCTATGGCGCTCCTTGTCGCTCTACAACACTATCTAACACGAGAATGAACAACAATAACGAAGAATAGATGTGCGAATCACACACACAAATTACTCAATAGTGACCACTAATTTTACCTGTAGATATGGAACTAAACTATATCACTACTCTAAGGGTTTATAAGGCCCAATGTCTCGACCACTACGCAAATCAGCATTTAGCTTTGCCTCGTCGTTTTTCCGCGCCGTGGAACTGCTGTAGATACCGTACACCCAGTGAGCTCGCATCGGACCACTGCTTGAACGAGTTCACATGACGAAAGAGACGTTGCTTTGATCGGCACCAACTTTCGCCCAAAACCACCTACAATGAAAAAATAAGGAAGTAAGGATGCCTATGTGTAATTGAAGAGCAGCAATAAACAGCAGTGCTAATATTAATAGTAGAATGGGACCTATAAGAGACTAATGGCCAGGGTAACTTCAAGGAATCGCATAGATATTGTGACCTAGAGTTGTTCAGGACATCGAAACCCTGCTCAGGATTGTGGTGCCAGAATCGAAACTGAAAATTTGACATGGATATTGACTACTCTCGCAAGTTATTTCATGGATTGCAATATCGTCCAGGCCCCTTGGGCTCGTATCAGAGTCAGCGTCGTCGCGCGATTCGCGCGATTCGTGCGGATCGCAAGACGCATTTGATCGTTTGAAGCTCTGCATATTAGACAAGTAAAACCATGAACAGTCGTCATTCAACATCACCATCAAGCAGAAATGGCAGCGGGATTGAGAGCACCTCGCAGTATTGATCGGACACTTGTGTCTTCTGTAATCCGCCGCGAATTGCGCCACGGATCGCGGACTCTGACATCAACGTTAGCAATTTTCAATGGAAGCCCAGGGCGTGACGTGTCTCGTAGGTGAAATGATCGAAGCCGACCTTCTCAGTATTTCACGCTCATGTATCTTCCAGGACGGAATAGGTATGGGGTCATGTTATGCACGATTCGAGACCGCTGCCCATCGTTTACGAGCTTTCCAGCTATTTGGATCAAAGAACTGTATCGGAAAGAATGCGAAGGAAAGTGCAGGAAAAGAAAAAGCAGAACATCAACTAAAACGCTGAATTTTTATTGCGAGGTTACCGTGAACGACAAGACGAGACCAACTGTTCGCACCGCTGCCCATGCTTACCGAGCTTTTCCAGCTATCTGGATCAAAACTGTATCGGAAAGAAGTGCGAAAGGAACGTGCAGGAAAAAGCAAGAAGCACAACTAAAACGCTGAAATTTTTTATTGCGAGGTTGACCGTGGAACGACAAGAGACAAAGCCTGGCGACGAGACGGGGGAAAACGCGAGGGAGCCATGTCGTACGCGAAATGGCGCAGACTACGCTTATACTGCAACTGAGGGATGCCCGTCAGGAGGCCCGTCGCGCAGAAAGAAGGCAGAGTCAGCAGGTAGGCTCAGTGCATACCATACCAAACCGTGATTTCGCGCCAAGGTGAATTTGCACGTCCTCCATAGCACATAACGCGCTGCGACTCGTCCACTACTCTGCCTTCTTGTCGCGTGACGGGCAGTGTTCCCGATCGGCAAGCGTGGCAGCGGTTGCAGCGGTGAAGTGAAGGCACGAGCTCCCTTGTCGCGCAGTTTTAAGTCGCGCCACACCGCTGCCTCCTTGACTATGACCTGCTACCTATGTCAAAGAAAGAACCATCCGAAGATCCAAAGGCGGCCCGTGGCTTTACCAGGTAAATTCAATGGATTGGTTACGAATGCACACATAAGTACCACGTTGCATTCACTTGGGAAATATCAGCTTTGCATGTTCACAGAAGCTACAGCACTTCCGCATTATTCTCGTCCCGATTTCCCAGTGATAAATGAAAAATTTACACTAAACCGTTGACACGTGACTCTCCCGTACAACTGCTGCTGTTTACCCTTAGCCGAATGATGGATGCTATTAGTCAGCCTTAGAGTTAAAAAATAACCTGTAAACAGACGAGATCAATCTCCTTCTTCTGATAGATCATGTCAACTGCTACCGCATAGTGAATGAGCCGAGACAGATGATTGAGTTGTTGAGGCTAAAGAGTGTGACATCATACACAAAAAAGACACTTTCGATCAATATCGATCAATAACGTAACTTTTTAAGTTTTGCTTGATTACTCAGTTGTTACGAGCTGAATTTTAGAAAGATCTGTAATACTCACATTACTGGTAACAATGAACTGCTTCAACGCTGGAAACATGGGGCCAAGCGGTAGCTGGCTTTTCGTCATAGGCGCTATGGTCGTCTCTTCACATACGAATTCCGCATCACATTTCCGATTTTGACTGAAGAACAGCAACAATGCGTTGATTTTCTTCGTGTTCACCTAAACACAATGTGATATGGGTGCAGTTCATGGCGTATACAGAATATGGTTATTGATTGGTCATTACTTACATCCTTCACGAGCAGCTCAACGATTGGACTGTCCATATGAATATGTATCGCATTTTCACGGAACACTTGTAGCAACGCAATCAGAACCTTCACATCTTTCCATTTCGGTCGTGAGTCAAGCGCGATGCCGAGCTCATGTGTACCCATTTCGCTGAGCAAAAGGCAACCCGCTGGGTGCCAGCTAAGCTCGTCTAAAAAATGGATATCGATTGGTGACATAATGTGTACTTCAAGTTGATCCTACGTTGAGGACGGCTCGATGTGATCGTATTGGCTCTTTGGGAGAGCCGGCTTTCAATAAGTACATATAGAAACTTCGGAAGACTGTTCAAGAAATACTGTGAAATCGTTATAGCCTTGTGAAAATGGAATTTTTAATGTTATTTTATGATCTCCAACACCCACTCAGGCATTTTTTAAGAACATTCAGGTATAGCACAGGTAGGATGGAGGAGGTGGGAGAAGATCCTGGAGACAAGAGATCGTATTTCTTTCGCGATAGGGACGGAGGAAGTGTGGGGGGGGGGGAGGGAGAGGGGGTAAGTTTAGCTGATTATCTCAACTCATGGCTAACCCTGGTGTGCTTTATAATATTCGGTTCGTCTTCTACTTTTGATGAAATATCACTAAGTGTTGGCAAAACAAGTGCCGCAGGCGGGAATCGTGCCCGCAATTTTTTTCCATCTGGACCGAGGCGTTTTGCCAATAACTCAGCAGCTATGTGATAACCTTCTCATCGCGAAGTGCTGCGCAAAACAGCAGTTAGCAAGACAATTCAATCGAGAAATATTGCAGTAATTAAGGATGCTTTGTTAATACAGATTCTTTGTTCCTACATACAATAAATGACTAGAGAGGCACCCTAAGCACTACGCCGTTGATCCAATATCCACTCTAATAACCCGGCCAACCGTGGCCTAAAAATTTAATGATTGTGATAATCCGACTGCTTCTCATGAACCAATGCTGCTATCTAAAAATATCCCAAAATTTCCCAACCATTCCACATTTCTGCAACTGGCCACCCAATGTCCACTTCGCTGTGCTTTCTTGAGTCGGGAACCTGTTGAGAGGCCATCGACATCTCCTCGAATTTGAAATTCGCTAGCAAGAGGGCTAATTTGTTTACCACATACGATGAAAAAAAAACTCGCATATTTATAATGCGTCAAGCTCGGTTCAAAGTCTATATTTTACGAGTTACGTCATCGCTACCAGTAACAAGACGCAGCTGTGCCACAAAACCACTGCTACCAGCTGGTACATAACACGTGTAAATGTTTAGCGATGACCAATCCCTTCAAAGCAGGGACAACCGTAAGGTTGGAAAAACGTCGAAATTGGACGATGGATATTCAGATCTACTTGTCTGATAAGGCTCCCAGCACGTCCCCCTCCCTTCTTTGGATTGATGGTTTTGATAGAGTGGCCCAGCTTAATCTTTGGCAGTTCAGGATTCCGGCCCCAAAAGTGGGTCGAACAGAGGAGGAGAGTGTGGAATCGGGGGGGGGGGGGTGTACACAGCTTGAAAGTGATATAATCGAGATTTTCTCCTGTAAAAATTTTGAATTCCCATTTGTCTCCGGAAGTACGACACCCTCCCCAAAATCACAAAACACAGCGACACCGTCGAGATTTATTTTTCCGATGGACGGTTGACCCTGCTCTTTGTTGTGTGACTCATTCGTCTCCTGCTCATCTCGTACGCTTATATGTACATAGAACTAAATAGAAATACGATTTTTGCTCTTGATTAGAACTGAGACGAATAAACCTATTCGTTTGCTGGTCTGAGCCGCCTTTAATCGTATTAATCGTATTATCTTTAAGATAAGATTTAATTCACTGACCCAGCTTAATTATTTTTAGCGTCTTATTTTAGAAACGCACGGTCTTGGAAGGCATTCTCGGGGGCAAAAAAGTGGGGTTTTCATAGAAGACAAAACAGGAAAAGAAGCAAATAGAATTGAAATTTCGATAGGAAAGAGATTTTTTATGTTCTCTATTATAAAATGATTTTTAATTTCCTAAATAACTCCTTTTCAAGTAACGAGAAGAGCGTCGGGTGCGGACCATACACCACAAGTGACGACGGCCTCCACAAAATGTAAATGTTTCCTGCTAATGAAATGACTAGTCTGTTGCAGTTATATTCTATCAGTTGCCACTAATTACAGCTATCATTTACCAATCAGCCATCACTATGAACTCTTACCAACCAGATTTACTTGGAGGCCTTCGTTACTTGTGGTGTCTGGTCTGCACCACGCTCTTCTCGTTTTTGAACGGGAGGGTGTGTTATTATGGGAATGAAAACAAAAAGGTAGCCTATTTTCCGAATCGCACAATTTAGTTTCTTAATTTTTTAAATTTTTTAAAATTTTAAAATTCCTAATTGAACTATGGAGTCATACTCACCAGTCATTGCGATGGATGAGCCGCGTTCGTGCAACTTGCATAGACCGTCATAGACACGGACATGAATGGTGGTGAATCGTGCCAGGCGACGCAGGGCGGCTGCACGGAATCGCTGCGACACTCCACGCCATCGCAATACGTCGGCCAATGACGCATTCGCGATTAATCGTTCAGCGATTTCTGAAAACGTCGTTAACCTAATAAAGGTGTAATGATCAGCGCATTCAGTTAAAGAAAAACAAGTAGCTCCTTTACCGTAGTGATCCGTCTGTGAACTGCTTGCAAACATGGAGCAGCACACCCGACGTAGGTTATCATACACCGTGAGAGGAATGAGTGACATGCCCTAAATCTTACTCATAAATGAGGCATCAGAAGCAAAAAACGTGGCGAAACGATGACTCAAAGCCATATCGATGACGCGTATGCACATGAATATTTCGGCGACTGCAAAAAGGGAATGGAAAGACAGATGGTCAAATCGAGCTGTTGGGATCGAATCTGTCAGTGGACATACAAACTACTTTGAGAGCTGTCTTGTAGGATGGATCTAACAATAAAGGACCAAGGAGAGAGGACTCGGTACGAATCAATATATTTTGAGGTGCGCCACGCATGCCACTTCCAGCTGCGATCGCAGTGGTAATTCGATGCGTTTTGCCCTATGCAATTACTTGCTGGGCCAGAAAACGAACGAGCCAGCGCACTTGGCCCTAGACAGGAGCCTGGTGCTGGATCTAACCATAAAGAACCAGGGAAAAAGATTCGGCACGAATCAATCTTGTTTTGGAGTGAGCCATGCATTTCATTTGGGATCGCAGTGATAGTTCGATGCAATATGGCCTATACAAATACTTGAGGGGCCAGAGTAAGAGCATTTAGTCCTGGGAAGGAGCCCGAAGGATAGGAAGGCTTGGTTATCTGGGCGATCCAAGATGTTGACACCTAACCGCATGCATGATAGGCAGCGTCACTGACCATTACATCCCCTTCGTGCTCCTAACAATACGAGAAGGAACTGAGTAACTCATGAATAAGCGATCAAACCACTGGCAGTACCAGTCCCCATAAGCTGATTTGACCATGGGTCTGCGCTACGCCCTACCCAGTCACAAGGTATGGTATGTACACAATAATCGGTTGCTAAACAAATAAAGTAATAGAATATGAAGATGAAGGCCTAGCAGTTGTGAAGGAAGAGTTGGAGAGCTTGTGACGAGAAAATGCAAGACCGACAGAATTTTTATTGGGATGTAGGAAGAACGATAAGAAGCAAAACCTGGGGTGATATAAAAAATGCTAGGGTTCACAAAGAACTCGATGCATTCACATCTAGACTGTGTGTTCATTTGAGGTTCTTCTTACTTCTATAATTGGCTCTTTTTTCATATAGAGCAGTTTCAAAGGTTGACGCAGTAGAGGAATGGTAAGCGTTTTGTTCAGTAGGACAATGGGAAAAAGTTCATTGCAGTAGAATTAACGATAGGTTCAAGTAAGCCGAGAACAACGTAATGAAGCCCTTCTTCCGGCTGTCCAAACAGCTGTGAATGAAGGGGCTGGAATGGGTGGGGTAGGAGGGGGGTGTTTTAAGCAGCTCAAGAGGCGCGACAATAACTACTAGCTGAGCCTACCAGTTTGTGGGACGATATGGCTGTTGCAACCGTTCAGCTGATCCAGCTCTTCTATCAGCCTACGACGACACCTGCAGGCGAGAGTGAAGGGGGACAGAATGACGCCATAACTACAGCGAGCACCTCGGGTGAAAAGTCAAAGATCACGGTCGTCTCGATGGGACAAAGTGATTGATAGAAAACTTTTAACGCTGGCCATCCTTGGCTGGCGTATCGATGAAATCAATTTCAATGCAAAATTCATACAAACATTAATCATATCGTCGCCGATGTTAAACTGCAACAGCAGATCTCTCAGAAAGAACGTCTAGGGCAGAAACCAATGATGATTCACAGATGTCTCGGGCAATGTTTCCTGCGAAAACAACGCCGTTAGCGAAAAGATTATTACAACAGACATTAGAAACTACTCCTAACAAGTAGGTAATAAAAGAAAATACAATTACACGCAACTGTCGTGGAATTTGTGTATCACTGGAAAAACAAGTGATAAATGGCACTGCGTACGCTGAAACGGCGGTCATAACACATGAATAAATCATTCCAGCTCAAGAATTAGTCCCTAAATCAAAGAAATGCTATGTAAAACAAAAAGGATCAGAGGAAGAAAGAAGTTAAGTATAAACTTATAATTATAGTTATTATTATCGTTGATTCTTGCCACTTTTCCTTCGTTTATTTTATTTGATTTTGTTTTGCTTGACTTGCTGTTATATTTTTTTGTCTTTCTATTTTTTTTCATGTGTAATTACTCTACAAATAAGGATGTTCACGGAGTTCTCTTTTTGCTCTGAGTTGTCATACCCACGTGGAATTTGTTCATGTCAATTGATAGATGTGATAAAGATAATAAAGATATATTATAAAAGATCAAGACGATCGGAGATCGATCAATACTTATCATTTGCTGGAGATTGAACAAAAGGACTTGGAGCGGGACTCTCACAGAAAAGAGAAGCGGTGCTCATTCCTTAAGAGGCACGTTCAAAAAAGGGCATTCAAAAACCGCTTTTAGGTGATACTAGGAATAAGCCCAGGAGAGGGAGAACAAAGGTTGTCTTCTCCCAAAATCCCTCCACCTCTCTGAGGGCTAAGTTCCAAGCTCTGTAAGCGGCTCGGTCACTTCTATGACCCCCCCCCCCTAATGACATGAACGCCGAAGAAAGATAGCATGATTTCGAGAAGAGCAGGAATCTAGCGAATCAACCTGCAAAAAAACTTAGGCAGAGACCTCAAGTTGGAAGGGAGAAGAATCAGTTTTGGGGTGCAGGAACTCATGGGTATCAAACGGCTTAATATTTAAGCACGAAGGCGCAAGAGGGCCAAAAATGGGGTCTAGGTTGCTGGAGAGTGAAAATCGCTTCTAGGGCGGCAAGGGACTATACGAGATGAACGCAAAGTCCAGCGCTAGCAGTCCTCTCTCACGTACGAGATCGAATTGAATCAAATATGCCCCAATATTGCTATTTCCGACGATGACTGCTGGCAGTCCGCTGGATTTCAAAAAAATTCAAACAGAAATCTGCGGAGAACTGCTAGGTAGCAGCCAACTGAAGATAACTATGCCATGTATAGTCGACATGTGAATGAATGTGACCGGCTGGCAGATCCGTCGAAAGAACAACAGCTGACTATGCTCGCAGATAGCGACCGATTTCAAGAGAAAACAGCCGGTAGAACAGCATTCACACGATCAATAGCGGACAAATGACCCGTCAATTCATAAACGGGATATGAAAAAAAAAACGTCGGGCAATATTCAACTCGGCTGTCCGCCAGCCAGCCACCAACTGGACATTGTCCGTATGCAGATCGAGGTCGACCTCATCGAGGGACGACGACAGTATCGATCCTTGGCTTTGTATGAGTGCGATGTGTTGGAAAGGAGCTCACAGCAGGGTGAAACACGTTCCAATGGAATTTGACTGAGACGGTCCTTCCCCAAAAGGACTATTACGACCCCCCCCTAGTTAGGGTCGTATGAGATCACCACAATGCACGTCAGTACCCAGTTCTA